GTTAAAAGGTTGGAGGATTTTATGAGAAATGGGAATTTGAAGTATGGGATGTAATGAGTAAAAATTTATTTTTCAAGTTTTGAACTTGAAATGTGCTTAAGGTTTAGATGTATGGAGTAATTATAGTGATATATTTTGAAGCGATTCTCTTTGAAGAATATTAAACCAAACTCCAAAATAAAATATCTTTTAATTTAAAAACCAAACTCCAAAAAAATCTAAAACCATTGTATTAGAGATTTTCTTTTAAAAATATCAATGTCAAAATCCACATGTATATATATATATATATAATATTTAATGTATATAATTGCATCGATACATTTTTCCATATTTTCATGATTGGAAATCTTGCTTAAGTTTTGTCTCATATAAAAAGTTATTACTGCATAAGTAAAACATTAATCTTCATAAAACTGACTAATCATTCTGCTTAAACATTTTACACTATCATTAGATATTTCAAAACTAATTGCATTTGGTAGATTTAGCAGTTTATCATTATTATTATTATTAAGGTTAATTTCATAAATATACCTTGTGGTTAAAGTTAAAATGAAAGTACTCCTTGAGATTTAAAACATGACACTTAATTATCTTATAATTTGTTATGTTGTTTTTTTATCCAAATCTATTACTTTTTTTTGTTTCTTTTTAATTTTTTTTAATTTTTTCCTTTTTTTATTTGAATTCATAATTTCTCTTTAAAAATTCATACTCTATCTCTAAAAATCTATTTTCTCTCTCTAAACCCAAATAAATGCTCAAAGAACAACCTTCAAATCACCAAAACTTTCACACCACTACCACCATTACAAGTTCACATCACCACCATACTTAACTAAATTCATACTTTCTCTTTCTAAAAACTCATTATCTCTCTCTAAAAATTTATTTTTTTAATTTTTTCCTTTTTTTATTTGAATTCATAATTTCTCTTTAAAAATTCATATTCTTTCTCTAAAAATCCATTTTCTCTCTCTAAACCCAAATAAATCCTTAAAGAACAACCTTCAAATCACCAAAACTTTCACACCACTACCACCATTACATGTTCACATCACCACCATACTTAACTAAATTCATACTTTCTCTTTCCAAAAACTCATTATCTCTCTCTAAAAATTCATATTCTTTGCCTTAATTACCCATAACCATTACCTTAGTTGCTCAACACCACCACTAATTCGACCTAAACTACACAGAAATCTATAGCACATATATCTACTAAGCCTTCACATCCAACACCTAATCACCACTATCATCTAACCAAAACACAGACCCAATTTTCAAACCACACTTAGCTATGAAATCCACATTCATCCAGTAACCAAAGCCTAAAACTGTCGAGCAACCAAAGCAAACATATTATGTTTAAGCAAACAACTTCATAGACATACACAATCAAAAATTTAAAACCCCATTTGGCTGAAAACTAAGGAGATCAAACCGTTTTTAGAAATAGCTTTCGAGCGGACACTAGAATTGGTGGACGATTAACAATGGCAATTAGTAGTGGTTGATAACGGTTGCTACAATGGAGATATGCCAAGTTCTGAAAAGGTATTAAATGAGTTAAGGATGAGGTTTGATAGTGATGTGAACTTGTAATAGTAATGACAGTATAAAGATTCTGATGATTTAAAGATTGTTTTTTTGTAGATTGATCTAAATTTTTGAGAAAAAATTTGATTTGTTTTAGAGAGAGAAAATAAATTTTTAGAAAAAAAATATGAAATTAAATAAAAATAAAAATAATAAAAAATAATAATTTTAGATAAAATAATAATAAAATAAATCCTAAAGTAATTAAATATCTTATTTTAAATCTCAGAGAATATTTTTGCTACAATTTTAATCATAAGATATATTTATAAAATTAAACTTTATTATTATTATTATTATTATTATTATTTTATTAAAGCAGCCCGATGGCCACTTTGTACAATCATGATTCTCGAATTACAGCAACTTTGGTCGGATCTGTTTCGATACTACTACTCCTACTCATTAGATACCATAGTAATGGAAGTAGGGTCCCCTGTTTTTTTTATTATTATTATTTATTAATACTGGGATGACCTTTTTGCCTAACTGAACCAACCCATCCTCAGCAAAGCGTTGATGTCCTTTCCTTTGGACAGTGTAGCACGAAGAATTTGACCGCCTGATATCATGATGACGACGAGGAGGTCTGAAACAGTAAAAAATAATGGTAGCAGAGAGATGAAATCAGCAACCAACAATCATCGAGTCACACAGAATGTTAATCCATCATAAAAACGCCAAACACACACAAATGAAAAATCCCCACCCCTTTTATTTGAACATTTTTTAGGATTTTCTGGATCATGTTTGCTTCTTTCTCTAATGTCTTAAAATTTGGTTTGAAACTTTAAAAAACAGATTCATTCTGGTGGCTTATGTCTTAATTCTTATCCGATGTTTCAATTCAAAGCCGAAGGAAAGGAGGGAGGGGTTGGGGTGGGTCAAATGGAACTGGTCATGGCTCATGAGAGAGAAAGGAGAGCAGGTGGTTGTGTAGATTGTAGAAAAGAGAGCATGAATGCAGCAAAAGTTGTGGACGCTATCGAATGCCATCGAATCAATCACGTGGCGCAACAGTCAAGGCACATAAACTTGAAGAAAGAAATAATAATACTAATAATAATAAGTTGAATGAAAGTCACCATACCTGATCAGAGAAGCTCAGACCCATCTTGCACAGAGACGATAAAGAATCGGGACCCATTTTTTTTTATGTTGATTCTGATTTAATTTTTTAAAAATTTATACTTAATTTTGATTTAATTGGATATTAAAATATTATATTTAATATTTAATTTAATTTATATATTAATAAAATTATAATTGATTTGAAATTAAGTTAATAATTTTAATTTAATATAATATTTATAATATATTATATAAAAATTATATTTAATTATATAAATATGTTATTTTTATTAAATTAATACTTTAAATTAAAATATAAATAATAATTTTATTAATATAATAAATTGTAAAATTAAATAAATAATAAAAAATATTATATATATATATAAAATCGAATTCAAATAAATTTATCTAAAATTTTAAAAAATATGTTCTAGAAACTCAATTTAAAAAAAAATGCCCTCTAGGTCGAAATCCGACAAATTCAAATAGATTTGCCATCTTTAATATTGCAACTGTAGCCTTTTTCTGATTCCAGTACTGTCTCAATAAAATTTGTGTAGAAACCAGAGAGACAGTAATAATAATCATAAATCTGTATTGTTGGATGTGTTTGAATAGCATGGATCTCATCGAATAAGATGTTTAATCAAGATTTGTTTATTTAATTAATAAATTTTTAAAATTTATAATTATTTTTTAAATTTAATAAATAAATAAAAATCGAATTTGTTAATAAATTATTGTTTGTTGAACACTATATTTATTTATATCATTGAACGTAAACGAATAAAATATAAAGAGATTTTGTTATATTTATTATATATTTATTTAATTAATAAATTTTAAAATTTTATTTATAATCATTTATTAAATTTAATAAATTAATAAAATTGAACTTGTTTACAATCATTCTTTGTTTACATCCTTAATTAATTACCGTGAGAAACTAGGAGTATATGGTTAGATTATAATATATTGTGGGAATGCTTTAAAAAAAGTTAAATACTCATTTGCTACTTATATTATATAGTTTTTATTAGTTTAGAACTTTAATTTTTATTTCATCACATACTTTAATATTTTAGACGAACATTATCAATAAATTTACTATTGTGATATAAATATTTAATAAAATATTAACGTATGTTAAAAATTTTAATCAACACCACATCATCAATTACAACATCTATATTAAAAGAAATTTTTAAAAATTCTTAAAAAATTCTTAGAAAAATTTTAAAAATATACGAAATATTTATAAAATTATAAAAATAAAAAAATCTGAGATATTTTAAAATATATAAAATTTTCAAAAAAAATTTAAAAATTTAAATATAAAATAATTTTTTTTGAAAATTTTAAAAATAAAAATTTTAATAAAAATAAAAATGTTCTTAAAATTCTATAAAAATTCAGAAAACTTGATAATTTTTAAATTTTAAATTTTTAAAAAATTTTGAAAATTAAAAAAAAGCTTCTGAAAAATTTTAAAATATTTGAAAATTTTAAAAAAATCTGAAAATATTTTTTAAAATTATAATAAATTAATAAAAATTATGAAAATTAAAAAAAAACAAAAAATATATGAAATTTTAAATAAAAATTCCAAAAAAAAACCTTGACTTTTTAAATTTTTATAATTTGGTTGAATGTTTCATATTTTTTTAATTTTCAAAAATTTAAAAAATTTTTAGAATTTTTTAAAAACTTTTAGATTTTGTTACAAATTTAGGCTTTTTAAAATTTTCATTTTTTAAGTTTTTGTGGATTTTTTAGTTTTAAGAAAAATTTATTTTTATTTTCTTTTTTTATAATTTTGTTGAATTTGTTTGAACGTTTTTTATTTTTCTTGGATTTTGTATAAATTTTTAAGATTTTTGTATTTTTTTAATTTTTTTTAAAAATATTTCAGTTTTTCTTAATTTTTAATTTTTAGGCTTTTTTTTAAAATTTATCAAAATTCTTTTATAATTTAAAATTTATCAAAATAAAAGGTTTTTTTTTAAATCTTTTAAGTTTTTATTAATTTTAAAGAAATTTTTATTAGAATTTTTATTTTTTAATTTTATTATTTTAAAATATTTAAGATTTTAATTTTTTTTATAAAATTTTATATTTTTTAATTTTTTAAAATTTAAATTTTTCGTGACAATTGATGATATAATATTAATTAATTTTTGAACTTGTCTTAACATCTTAGATGTTCATAACATGTCAATGAATTAACTATTAATGTTAATTCCGTTTACAAAATTGAATAACTAATGAAATTTGAATATCAAACTAATAATTTTAATTTTTTTAAGTAGTAAATTGTACAAAAGACGAAAACGTGTATTTATACCTTTCAAAAAAGTTTGCTCCTTACAACATATATCCTTTAAAAAGTCTTCCTGGTTGTTGTAGTCTACTCTTTCCTAAGGCAAACCCGGATTTCTGAAACAATGGGTAGCAAAAGGAGTCATTTTTTAGCAGAAAAAGACAGCTTTCCTTTTTTATTGAATTCAATCTCATGGAAACTTCGACGATAGCTTCGCATGTGTTCTCACAAAACATGAGAAAAACGTGGTGGAAGGGTCATCAATCAAAGTTCCAAATATTTTCGATTCAAGCCCCCCCGCATCCCTACTTTCAGCTAATGCAGACAAAATCTTGGTTGTTGAACGACGTGAGTGCGACACAGATTCATCCCAAAGTGCAAAGCTAACGTTGCCTAACTAGGTGCCACGTAGATAGAGCTCAACCATGGAGCTTGTCCAAAAACCTTGGTAATGGATCATATTAGAGTTGGATTCTCCACATTTGCAGGACAACATGAGAAAATTCGAAGACCAGCGGCAATAAACTACTAACATCAACTTTAGAATAAGTCTCATAGGCGGTCACCCGCTCTCATTTTCTCTCTGCTTCTTTTAATCCGAGCGATAAAATGATAAATCGAAGAAACATGCTCTAGATGCCTCGGTGGCAGACGAATGCTCATGCTCAAATGAGTCGAAGATCTTTTCATTAATGGCCACAGACACAAGTATGGGTTCAGAACCAATTCTAGTCATTAAAACTTTGACAGGATAAGATGACTGGTAAATGATAATCGCTAGCTAATGCCACAAATTCTAGATTACTACATGCAATATTCATCTGCAAATGATGTGTTATAACAAATTTAAAACTAAGTAAATGCAAATTTCAACAGGATGGGATTTCAAAAACCTAAGAGTAGCGGAAGGCTACTAATAGTATGAACATCATCATAAAATAGATGCGACTAACACTTGAAATTTTATTACCCCAAAAGGCTAACAACAACAGAATTAAGTCCACGGGATAATTACCACCACCGACAAGGTGATACAAATGCATTAACATCCAAAAGTCTGCATATAGTATACATGGTAACTATGGGGGAAAATAAGAACTCTCATTAATACACAACAACTGGGGTTTTCATCTCTTTATTAGTCATTACTTGGAGTCGGATGACTCGGCCAAGAGAAAAATGAATCCAAATCCAGCTCTCAAGCCTTGTATACCCTCCATATTATGTTCCCACTCCAATCAGGTCTGCAATTATATTAAGCTATATAAAATTAAACTGGGAACAATGAGTAACATAAGGAGTATGTACCTGATACATCCATTCTTGAGATCAAATAAGCTTTTAATACTTTGCCTAAATTCACAGATCTCTCAAGAAAGCCCCAGTGCAGAATCTTCATCCTTCATCCAAACAAAAGGAGGCATGTCAAACCTTGGCCCTGCAACAGACCTATATATATAGAGCTTCTCAACTGGGCAGCGTTCTGGTCTTGAATCTGGAGGTGCCCTCTCATCTATAACTTCAACATTCAACCTGGGCATCTTCTGACCTAGCAGCTTACATGCTCCAAAACTCACAGAGCAAGAAGACATCCAAAGGGATCGCATTGTCTCCAGCTTTCCAGCATTGGCCAAAAGAGCCTTGTCCCCAAAAGGACAGTCCCTAATCTCTAGTTTCCGGAGGCTTTCACACCCAGAAAGCACGTGATGAAGTCCCAAATCACTATCTCCTGCAAAAGCCACAGACAGCATCTCTAGCTTTTTTGCATATGTCCCAATATATTCAAACACACGATCTGTAAGAAGACCAGAGAGGGAAAGCCGCCTAAGATCCTTGCAATGCTCAACAATGGCTCCAAAACCAACATCAAGTGACTCAAGGGTCAGGTAATCAGCTGTTTTTGGCTCAATTATACAAAGACGAAAATGGGTCAAGTTTGGACGGTTCTGGGCAATTGTGACTAACGCCACATTAGACATTCTGCGGCAAAAGTACAAAACTGATTGTAGCTTAGGACAGCCCAAAGAAACGGCAACAAGGCCCTGTTCTGTCAAGGATACATTTGGTTCTACACCAAATGGGTCGGATGGAAACACCCGTAATTCCTGTAGGTCCTTGCAACTAGATGCAAGTGCTTCAAGGCCACTGTCTTCAATATAATCAAGTACCTGTAAGCATAACATTCCTTAGCTTTAGAAAAAAAAATGACAGACAGACAAAAGTATTTAAGAATAGATAGAGAAGCAAGATTCAATTCAGTTATCTGAACATGTTATGGGAGGACTAGTACAGCTTAAAGGTTATCCCTAAACCACTTAATGTTCACAATATATTTAAGGTTGGAAGTATCTCCTGTTAGTGCTCAATTTTTTTACTGTAGTTAGCAAGTCAAAGGCAAAGAAGGAGAAGCGCTAACAGAAAAAAAAAAAAGCCAATGATACCATAATAAGCTTACCAATAGGCGCTGCAAACTTGGACAGTGGCTTACAAGCTTGATTAGATCACGACTTTGTATGGTAGCATAACTCAAGTTCAGTGTCGTTAATCTAGAGCAGACAGAGTAAATAGCCGGAAGGTAAGCTGGGACCACATCCCAAAACCCAGACAAGCTCCTTAGTTCCTTGCAATTAGAAAAAGCTCCAGCCAAGTTTGAGAAGACATCTGGCCGTAGCTCAGCCGCATAGGCACCTGTGCCAAATTCAACCAGCTGTGGTGCACGATGTAATATGCTGGCAATCTTATCAAGGGGCACTGCACGATTGAGCCGAAGAGTCCTAAGGTTAGGACATCTACCCACCAGACGCTCCAAGGCTGAGAAACTAACTTCATCAGATCCTAAGCAAGAAATGTTAAGAGACACCAGGGATGTGTATGTCTCAGGGAAATGGATGAGCCAATGCCCACTCAAATCATCCACTTCACTTTCTCTCAAGTCCAGCTCCTTCAGATTCCTAAATTAGAAGGCAGAGTGATTCATAAACATAACATACAAGACAAACGAAAAAGTAACAAAAGAAAAAACATTTTACATGTAGAAAAAGCGCCAAATCAAATACTATGGTCTTACTAAATTAAATCCAAACGTAAAACATAGGAAATCAAGAAGATCTTAGGTTGTTTAACAAACTTAGAAGTTCACCACTGTCATTGTCATTGAAAACGACCCGACTTCCTCGCCATTGTTACTTTCTTTTTTGCAAGTGAGCTTGCCAGAAAGAAAGTTATTCCCTCCAACCCCAAATCAACAAAAGTTTAGAAAAGATATTCATCATTTATAACAATATGAAGAGAAAAGGAATATATTTAAAGATAAAAAGAAGAAGCCCACATTTCCCAGGAAGTAACCATCCAAAATCTGAAAACAACCCCCAAAAGAATCTCCTCATAACAAACATAAAAAGGTATCGTATAAGAAAAAAAAAAGACAAGTGATTTTCGCTAGATTTCCAACATTAGATATTCTTAAAAGATTAACAAAAAAATCTAGCCTGCCTCAGATTGGAGAAAAGCAAAAGCAGAACAATGCACACGACTAAAACGAGAAACCAAGCTTCAAATCTACAGGTAAAGCTTTCAATAAAGTTCTTCCAATCAATTTATATTACTAGAAAAATGTAGCTAAAACCAAAACAATTGGAGTAAACCTAAATTAAAACTCCCACAAATATCCAAACTTCAACTCTTTTTTTACTACAAAACACCAAAAAAAAAAAAGTTCCGAAAAGGAGAAATGAAAAGAGTTAATGAAACTGACTTGCAACTAGCAGCAATGGCAGCGAGTCCATCAGTTGAAAACCCTTCACAAGAAGAAAGCACCAACACTTTGAAATTCTTAAACGACTTAGCAATAAGCTCCAAGCTTTCATCCGTAACGACCATCCGTTTAAGCCGAATCTCTTCGAGCCAAGGATAGGCGCCGGCCATCTCCTTGATCCACGGCAGGATGTTACCACCCCAACCGTCTGGTACCAGATTGAAGTCCGCGAAGTGCGGTTTCCCTTTCACCTCAACGGATCTAACTTCCGGAAACCGTTTGATCACCATCCTAGGGCTCACAGCGTAACAGTTGCCGACAAATATCTTCCTCCGACACCAACTTTCGATCTCGTACCACGATTTACACACCAACGATACCGCGTTTCGGTCTTTATGTGATTTTATGAACGAGAACACGTGTTCCAGCACCTCATCCGGGAACGAATACGCCATTTTCTTCTGCATTAATTAAAAACCGAAAGGAAAAAAATACACTAGCAAAAATGAAGCCTTTTAATAGAAAAGATTAATTATTTTCCCTTTTTTCTCTTCGTTTTAGCGCAGATTTGCGTTTTGTTATGCTTTAGAGTTCGTTTTTATATCTGAAACGCCATTAACGAAGCTGACAGCGAGCAGCGTATGGGGGAGTTAAAGAGAGAGAAGGTGAAGTGAAAGACAGATACAAGAGAGGATAAGGATTTTATTGGTGTTGAGAAGAAGGGTTGGATTTAACCATGGTTAAATAAGTCATGTGAAATGATGGAAGAGGGTGGTTTCAAATTTTTGTGTGCGGATACATATGACGATTAGGATAGTTACACGTGGTGGGGAGAGATGTGGGCCGTAGGATGGGCGGTGGGAAGGGGAGATCTTATCCGTTGGCGACGAAGCGGAGCCGCAGAAAACGGGTGTATGTAAGAGTTTGTGGGGGCGGAGGATGGCGAGATTTTGAGTAATATATCGGAAGGAGGGGGATGAGATATTGGGGGCCGATAAAGTGTGATGATGTGTAGGAGAGAGTGGTGGTGCATGGAATCTCATGATTCGCACGGCACGGCTGGATCTGAGGGATCGGATATTGCGGGGACCACAAGAAAGGTTAAAAATAAATAATGAGGAATGATCTGATGTGAAATCTAGTTATCATGACATCATGGCCGTCCAATCATATTCAACTGTTGCTTTCAAAATATCATGCTATTATTGACCCCTCGTACTACACCCCATTTATTCACTTCCAACGGCCCTGATTCATTTCATTATTATTGATATTGATGATGATTTTTTCTCTAATATAAATTCTTTTAAAAAATTATTATTAGTAGTAATAAATTTCAGGAAAATAGCAGATTTTTTCCTTTTGTTATTTTGTTTTTTCATGTCAAAAAAAGGATGAGTCCGGAAAAATGAATAAAGTAAAAACGAGTGCACGATGCAGTTAATCAAGACCGTCACCTCAGGGCCCTTTGTCACAGTGTACGGACGAAGTAATAAATTTTTTTCCTACATATGGTAAAAAGAAATTTTTTATTAAAAATTAAAGAAAAGATCAAAGCGTCCCCACAACTACCTCCGGTTGCACGTGCATGGCAGCAGAGAAAATAATTCTTTAGGTCCTCAAATAACGAAAATACCCTTCATCTACAATACAATTCGCCATTCTTTTCCTAAAAAGTGAAGGGTAGCGTTGTCAGTTCGTTAAAAAGACATGGTATTTTGGATTGCACTGTGTCAGCATTGAGCCCATAGAGCTGTCCTTTTTATGTCGAAAAAGCTGAGAGAAGTTAAAACTCAACGGCTCGGATTTAAAGTTGGTAATAAGGGCAGACCTAGATCGTTAGATGGCTTCCCGTAAGCATTTTTATCAGATCTAACCATTTTAAACACCTTATGAATATTTGGGAAAAAATACGTTACAAATATGATGAAAAACGAAAGGGAGATTTAAATTTTTAATAGAATTATATATAAATTCAATAAAAATAAAGAAATATATTTTATATTTAATAAATTAATACAAATTATTATACGATAATTTATGTTTTAAAGTATAGCAACAATAAAAGCTTATCTCTAGTTGTATAGTATTGAGGAAAAAAAACTCTTATTTTTCTAAATGAAATTATTAAGTATTATCTTAAAATTAATTTTAAATATTTTACTAAAAAATTAGTTAATATTGTTTGAATACAATTGAATTTAAATCCAATGTAAAAAATGGGGAAGCTGAGTTGTCCTGCTCGTAAAGGTGATTTTTTAATGGGGGAGAGATCGTAATTAAGATTAAAAAATGACGATTATCTAATATAATAGTAATTAATAATTGATAATTAAGCCCACGGATAGTTTCTCCGCGAATCTCTCGTCCCCTCGAGTGGGATGGATGGCTTGGGCTTTGCTATATGCTTGGTAAACTTTGAAATGTTTTAGAAAATCGAATTCTATGATAATGTGATTAATGAATTTTTTTAAAATTAGTAATAAAATGTACTATTTTATTTATTAAAAAATAATAGACGCGTTTAATGCGATGACTGTATTAAAATTTTAAGAAAGGCAAAATTTTTTATATATTTTTACAAAAAAAAAAAATAAAGTCGAAAATTTAAAAAATTATAAATATTAAAATTTAATATTTAATTGCATAGAGGTAAACTTGAACATAAAAATAATATATAACCCTAAAATAAATTATTTTAGTTTACTAACCTTGGAATAATCGGTTTGAGTAATTATAGTTAATCCTTTGCACGTGAGGCGCTTTGTCCAACGTCAAAGGTAGGAGAAAAAGAAATGCGAGAATTTAGCTACCGCTTTGTTAGCGTTGACGGAGGAGCGAAATCCAAGCTTTGCTGGCACACAAATGGCATTTTGAAAGTTATGGGATTAATAATATAATATTTAGTTTTGTTTCCTTTTGATTAAAATATAAAAATGTTCTTAAATTATTTTATTTTTTTTAAACAAAATTTTATATTTTTAATATATTTTAAATACGTTTTTATTTTGTATTTATATCTAGATAATCTTTGTTTTAAACAAAAGATTTATTTACAGACATCAATTGAATTTGACCCAGCTTTAATTCTATCTATTAACATTTCTATAATAAATTTTATCTTCGTATAAAACTTTATATTAGTTTTACCCCTAAAATTTTTTCATTTATAAAAAAAAAAGTATTTTTTTTTAAATGAAAATCTGGATCGATGCCTTTCAACGATGTCCATGATGTGGGGGAAGTTATTACCTCATTAATTAATCAAATTATTGATGCTCAGAACCGGTATCAGTGAGGGTAGTGACGAGTGAGTAGTGACAATGAAGTTAAGCATTAATGACGATGTTCAGCAATATGCATTTACTCACGCCCCATCTCTCGCGCTTACATCAACTTGAAAATGACATTGAAAGCAACGAAATATTTGTCGGCAGCATTCAAAAAATTAATATGGATTGATGGTTTATGTTGTGAATTAAAAAAAATGATATTTAATAAATTTAAAGTTTAAATTTTAATATTTGTAATTTTTTTTTATTCTCATGTTGCAGTTTATATAAATATATGTAATTAATGTGGATTGAACTTTGTTTTAACCATGTTTTCTTTTCTCTTTCCTATTATTTATATATTTTAAATTTATTTTGGTATTTTTATTTTATTTTTTTAATATCTAAAACTTTTATTTTTTATATTTTAAAATTATTTTTATGATTTTTTTATTTTTTGACATTAAAAATCATGAAATTTTAATTTTATAAAAATATAAATTTAATATTAAATGCATTAAAGTTAAATTTTTTTAAAATTAAATTTTGTTCTTAAAATCCGTAAAAATCAATATATGACAAACAATTTAAGATGAAGGGAATAACTTAAAGTTCAATGTGTTAATTTTTTTTTTCATTAGATACGTTATAGGAGATGAAAATGAATTTGAATTCACATTTTATATGTCTTTTTAAACTTTCTTAACTATTAAATCTAAAAATTGAAAGCAAATTCAACTTGTTTCTTTAACCTGCATTTATCTTGTTAATAGCTAGACATGGTTAAGATAATTTTTTATTATTTTTGCTTTATAATTTTACTTTATAACAATAAATTCAAAAGTAGACAATAAATGTATATAATATGATTTAATTATTGACTTTAATTATGCTGTCTATTTATGCAAATAACATTTTCTTTATATATTAAGATATTAATTAGATTCAGACAAAAGGGAGAGAAACAAGAAAGAAAATGATTGACTAATCGTGAGTTTCTTGAAAAATAAAGAAACTCGTTCGAAATAAAATAAAATAAATCTTACTTTAGAGGTATCACGAAGTTTAAAGATTAATTTTAATAAAAGAGATTAGTAAAATGTCACTTTATTGTAAACTATTAGTTAAACTAATTTTCATTAACAATGAGATAAGTTATATAATTCAATTGAAATATGTCAAAGTTAAACTAATTTGGGCTTGATTTTGAGTTAATTGCACCGTATTTACAAACTTTGCTAATTCGTATTTTGATGGCCCTCACTTAGGGTTTTTTTTTTTTTTTTAAAAGGCAATTCAAAGCTATTGGAAAATATTGTAAGTGTTGTAATTTTAATTTTAAATTTAATAAATATTACATTTTAAAAATGGTTATATAAAATAATTGAATTAAACCTTTATTTTTACTTTAAGAAATCTTGTCAAAAGTTAATGTTATTGTTGACAGACTATATATGTAATCACAAAAAATTACAAAGGTTATAATCATCGATATGTTTCAAAGATGATTAGATCGGATTTATCCAACTAATCTTGATTTTAATTACTACCATATATATATATATATATATATATATATAAGCAATTGTTTTGGAATGGAAGTCTTCTTCCCATATCGTGGTTTTGGGGTGCAATGTCTAAAAGTTTGATGAGAGTGGGCGATAATAAGCGTTTACCCAATTATAGGGAGACCCCATTTTTTGTATGGGTATTGGTTTGAATTGGAAATTTGGAATATAGAGTTTACGTATCCCACCACTATAAACACTAACTGCTCAGAATGGTAGGTTCTGCTATATTTTCATATGCAATTTTGCCTGATTACGCGAGGGCCAAAAGGCATGGATCATACAATATAATAATGGTTAAGGATGGATAATATTTTTGACTCGAGGAATGGAGAAAATGACATTATCTATCACTACAAAAAATCGTAAAACTTGTAGTATGTATTTTGGCTGGCTCAATCGATGAATGAATATATTCTATTTTGGCTTTGAGTGAAAAGGAGGAATATATATAATAATATGTCATGTATATACTCCACCTTTTTGTTTTAGCATTTTTTTTAAGCCCCTTATCTACTTTTGAATACCCTAGAACTCACTTGATCCCATTATCTCGAACTCAGGAACCCTTCAAAGACATCCGATGCCATGCCACTGACTGTGCTAGTCATTTGTTTTGGCATTTTAGAACCTTTAAATTTCCATGAGTTGTTTAAAACGGTGAAACTAATTTTGATAAAATTAGTTATTGTAACAATAAGATTGAATATTATAATAATAAAATTAAAATCAGCGATAAAAAATATATTTGGATGCAAAGACAATAGTTAATATAGTGATAAAAGAAATTGATTGTTAAGTATATTAAATTAAAATTTGTATATAATTGAATTTATATTATATATTTAATATTTTCAAAATTAATAAATAATTTAAAATTATTAAAACTATTCTTATATATAAAAAATAAA